TTTGTACATTCTTGTACGATCCGAAAAGTTCTCACCACATGCTTGTTTTCCCGAATGACGATCTTGTTTTGTTGCTATCGTTTGCTACATTTTCTTTTCGACTCAAATAACTTTTGACAAGGACTGATTTCGACGTCTATTTACGTTGAGGTTAAAATTGTTGTTCTGGCTGGCTGTTCTTCAGGTCTAAAAGTAAGTACCCCCGTCATACCCCCAGTGGCGTAGTTTCGCGGCAGAAGTTGGGGGTCTGAACAGTAAAAAATAACTGAATGTACCTCCGCCCCAAATAGTTAACGAGTAAGCTTTTCCCGGGATTTGCCCCACTTTCCTTTCAAAGTTGGGGGAGGGGCTGGGGCCCAAATTGGGAGGGGGAAAGGGCTGAAGCCCTCCCAACTGAATAGGAAACTACACCCTTATATACTCATTTTGGTCTTATCGGAGTACAGTTTTTTTTGCTTTGCGGGATAGTACCATTGGCATGTCGAACAGTGACAGCTGTTGGCATATGGTGATAAGCTACAGTCTTCACCATGTCGACATATGCCAGTCAGAGTGGGATCCTGATTTTTTGTGTGTTTCTTCAAAAGACATCCGACGCGCAGCCACAGGAACATAATAATGTATGTACAGAGTGTGCAGTTATGCTGGGTAGTTATCAGTAGTGAGCGATTGTTCCCCATGGAGATGAGCAGAGGCTGCCCCGCGCCTCTTTTTGCAGCGCCGTCTGTCCTGAGCGAGCCACATGCTCACCCGGTCCCTTGTGCCAGCCAGGCATGCGCTCGTGGACGGTGTTGGTGCTGCTCTGGGCGGCGGCCTGCTCAGCTGCCACCTTCTCCGGCTGGGGACATTTAAACTGCCGGCGCGGCGCTCACAGGCCAATCAGCTGATGGCCGGAGAGCAGCCGGGGGCGCCTGGTGACCCGGCCGTCCCGCCGCTGGCGCTCCTGTATCGGCCGGTGGGTCGTGGGACCGTCAAGGAGGATCACGCTTCTCTTGGGGGGTCTCATCGGGACGATCCTGGTGATTCCTCAAAGCAGATTGGGGAGGATGAGTAAGCGTGATTTTACATCGTTGCTTTACGTGCAATGACAAGTTTGATAGCAAATTCTCCGAAATAGAGGCTACTTACCCCTTACCCTCCTCGTTGCCCTGTCCCTGTAATGGGGGACTGGGATCAGGTCACTGCGTCTCCGTATTGAGGTCTTGTGGCAAAGCAAGAAATTCTATCATGTGTATTGTGTGGTTACCCTGTGTTGACGGGTTACGATTGCTTGAGATAAACAGCTTTGCGGTGCCAGATGCGTACGTGCGCTCATAGCACATACATTCAAAATTGCAATGAAAAGCTACACAACGCATATCGCTCAGCGGATGTGTTTTTTGACGTTCGGTTGATATAGACGCGGTGCGTTCTACCCCACCACAGCGTCTTCTGCCAGCGCGGCGCCGCCCGCGCGTGCCCAGCGGCCCCCAAGACCACTGCGTCAGCCACGTCTCCTGCCTCGTCAAGTACGCCGCCTCGTTGGCCGCCTTCACCCTGCTGCTGGTGCTCCAGTGACGTCGATGTCTTGGCCATCTTCACAGCGCTGGCGGCGCTCCATGACACCACATGGGCTTCAAATAAAGACCCCAAACGATGCGTGTTTCGTTGGCCGCGACCGCGCGATGTGTGGGACATAGGTCTTCTAACGGCTGTCACCTCAGTGGCTGAAAAGTGACGTTTGTCGGAGCTCTGAACCAACTTACCAATCGTATGCTTGAAGAGCTCTTCCTTTACATCCGAGCGGTGATATAACCACCTATAAATCATGATGAATGATTTGTGTCCACAGCAGATCAGCATAGGATACTGACGTGCTGTTGCTCCACTCCTTCTTAAGCATAATCAACATCGGGCATTCCCGTTTGTAAAGTGGGTGCATGAAAAGGCGTTCTTAAAATCAGTACAGCCAGTTGTATTTCGACACAGCCAAGCAGACGACGTAATGAGATGCATGGCCCGCTCGCCCTCAGCTTGAGAGAAACAGAACAGCGGAGATTGCCAGCGCTCTGCCTACATCCGGCGCTCTCTAAATTCACATCAATGATTACGACAAACTCGTTTTGGAAACATGGTACCAATCCCGCGACAAAACACACCGCGGAATGTTAGTAAGCAAGAACAAACAGATGACGGGAGGAACAGCGCGTGGAGGTCACGGTCGGCCTGTGACGGGTGCTGGCGGGCGGCCAGCAGAGGCCACTGCGGCGGGTGGCACCATCTGGCCGCCAAAGCTGCTCGTGTTCTGCCCGTCCCTTCGATCACCGCTGCCCTGAACACGACTCCGCCGGATACTCGGACCTATTCTGTCGGCTTGGGTCCCAGCCACGGGCCGCGCCACTCGGGGTGATGGTATGTCTGGAACGGGAGGCGACGGGAGCACGTCAGGAACGTCGCACGCGTGTCACTGACATGTTCGAAGCATACGCCGCTCGATAGACACGTGGCTGCCATGGCAGCGAAAGTGTACCTAGTGCCTACCTGTCGACCGAGGGCGAATATGGAGTTGGTGACGGCTGGAATATCCTTCTTGTCAAAGAGGTCCGTGGTTTGGAAGATGTCCAGATCAGAACAGCCGTACGCCAGCATCGCCTTCTGGAAGCTGAACAACCACGATATAAGATATCATTGGGCCCTGTTAGGGCAGCGAGCTTAAGAGCCTAACTAGGCATGTAGCCACACCTTACAACTAACTACACCAAGTGAGTCAGCTTAGACTGGCTTTGCGTTAAACGCATTACAAAAACCCGACTTTGGTTATGGGAAATCACTCGACCCACTTTACTCCAAGGGTTTTGCTAGCCATCAACATTCGCGCCGATAAACGCATAGGATAGCGGCATGCAATATATTGTAGCATTGCGGCACCAACCCAATCACATCTCATGGCTCATGTGTGGATTCGATAGTCTTCGATGGTACTCTATGGCATTCGATGGCAATTAGGACTTACTTATTGATGTTTTCCATGAACTTAAAAGAGGTTCCGGTCGTGTTGATTTTCTTGATGGAGCCGGGTGCCAGTTTGTTCATCAATTTGCACAGCACCTGCCCATCTCTAGAAGAAAAACGAGTCAGTGACGAACGAGCGCCGGCAGCCAAGTGCCTGGCTGATGACAGATGCGGCTTCACTCCGAAGCGTTAAGTGGACCGCCCAGCGCATGTGGGGCCGCAAAACACACTGACAACAGGGGCACCCATTGTAAAAAACGCTTAGCGATGTCCAACGCGGCGTCCGAGGAGCACCTTTGGTGTCGTGCGCCACACAGCGATGCCGTGCATCCTTTGAAGCCATCAGCGTGCTCATGAAAGGCACAACTCACGCCAGAGTCTGTCAGCGAAATTTTATGGCATCGGGTGATGATGCAACGAGAAAACGTGGCCGAGCGGGTGCTGAGACCATCAAAATGGAGTAGAATGCGCCCATGTGCCATCATGGCCCAAATGCGCCATCATAAATGTTGCCTTATCTCAGCAACGCAGAGTCTCCAGGTGTTGTACGAGCTCACACTACCCGACAGGCCTCTCCTATTTTGACCGAGCGCAGTGGCTGGTGTCGCCACGAAGCTGCTCAACGTCAGCCAAGCCAACTGTTCTGCACTGCCAGCCCGCGCGTGGTATGGTGAGGCGTGGCGTAGCACCTGAGGGTGACGCTGTAGTCCTGTCCAGCGGGCCACTTCTCTCCCGTGACGGTCTCGATCCACTGCTGCACCTCCGCCTCCACGCCCGGGTCACGGCGACCCACCGTCTGCGTGCCAGGAGGTCAGGTCGGGTCAGAGAGGTCTCCGCTGCCCCCCCCCCCCGGGCCGGCACACAGGTCCTGTGTTGGATGGATCCACGCCAGGGGAGTATCCGTACACGGGGTAGGGTTAGGATACCCCCTCGCGCGAGAAACGGACTGTTTCAGGCCAGCGGAATGACTGAAGGCGTCCCACCACATCATCAGTAGATCCTGCCCAGCTTGTCGTTCAAAAATAGCTCGCCGACTATGACATCAGCGATAGGTAAGACCCGGAGCTCGGGTATTTATGACCCAAGCCCAGTTTGTTGCGATGACCACGTGGGGACTACCGTCTCTATTGCCAAGAGATAAGAATAAGAAGCGGAATTCCGGAAGCCGTGGGATTGAGGCCCGGATAAATCACCTTGCTCTGCCCTGCCCTACACAAAACGATCAGCTGGCAGCTGTCCAGAGACGGCCGGCGAGGACCGACTCTCGCTGGCAGGGTGGCTTGTGGCATGCCATTGTGTGGAGCGAGAAAATGCCTTCACCATCCTGTATGACAAAGAAAGACCGAGTCCAAGTCAATTGTGGAAATGGAGCGACGCTGCCTGGCGCAGATGGCTGCAGGGCACGAAGAGCAAGCTCTGCTTTGAATGTGCTTCTGGTCTAAAGCCACTGATGCAAAACATTTGGAATCGACGTTGCAAAAAGTGGGCCAGCCGCGGTCGGCGAGGCCTTCAATCGTCACATCCCCTCATTCACACTGACACGCGGAGATAACCCCGCCGAGTTTCAGCCCCAAATCGTGACAAACAGCCAAGTGCATGTCACCGCCGGCCGTTTTTGACGTGACAGACGACCGGCTGTATGTCACCGCCCGGCCGTTTTCGCGGTCTGGGAGGGAGGGAAGGAGCTGCGTCAGGGGCCGCCACCTATCCCGACAGCGACCGTGCCGAACAGCCCGTCAGCTTGACACCATGTTGAACTCTGTCGAGGTCGACCCCGTCCGGCCAACCAGCGCCGCGCCGACGCGACCACCCCGGCGCGGCGGCAATCAGGGCGCGATCCATCAGCTCGGCGAGCTGGCCCGCGCGCCAGCGGGACATCAACGGCACGGCGGCCCGCCCCGCCCCGCCGCGAGTACCGTGCGGAGGTGGGAGCTCTGGCTCACCTGCCAGCCACGTGTGGGGGAGGCGCGGCGCCTGGCCGGGCCGGGGTACGGGTGTCCGCGGCGGACGCGGCTGAAGTTTTGGTGGGCAGCGGTGGATGGCCGCCGGCACCGGTGACGTCACGGGGCTGTTGGAGACCACGCCTTGCAGAGCTCGGATGGTGTCGTGGCGGGACGCGGCTGAAGTTTCGGTGGGCAGCGGTGGATGGCCGCCAGCGCCGGTGACCGTCACGGCGCTGTTGGAAATTACGCCTTGCAGAGCTCGGATGGCGTTGAGGGCTGAATTACGGTGATGTGCTCACTTCACGCGTAGTACCTTATTACATACGAGCACGAGGCCGTTTTTGTGGGGGTCACGACACTGGTGCTCTCGCCAGCTGGCTAACCCTGTGATGAGCAGCACCCTTCTGGCGGAGCACGTGTCGACGTCCGGTCGTGCGCGTATGCTGAGAACGAACACCTGGCGATTCATCGTGGACGTTCTCTCCGTTCTATGATGAATCTTCGATGTGATGTGCACAAACTTGACTTGTTGCTCACTGTCGCCAGCGAACAAAGTCGAAAGTTTGAAAACTTACCGGAATTTGCAGCAAAGGTATAAGACTACTTTCTTGTGATTCCGGAACGTGTCTGAACGTGTGTCTGGATTCTACGAGTGTCTAAAGAAACCATAAGACCCTTTGGTGATGAGACTCATAATCCTTCCCTTGTATCCTCCGTCTCGATTTATCCCGCATCATTCACGACGCCCCGCTTGCCCGGGGCAGCGTGCACGCGCCTGCTACGAGTGAAGCCGAAGCGCCCGCTGGTGGGTGGCCTGACTGAACGCCAAGCGCACATCTGCAGCGGAGTCCGTGTGGGGGCAAAGTTTCCGCGGTCGGGTCTCCAGGTGCGCGTAGTCCTATCTCACCGTTATACATTTTCCTTCATTCCATAGCCCTGAAACTACACGTGCTCGTACAGAACTTGTTCTGTATCGGATCTAAAGGCTGACTTTACTTGAAATCATTTCAGTGTGTTCCCTTGCAACAAAGGAACAACTTCGAATTGCGTTATGAAAAAATCATGCCTTAGGCCACTATCTCAGTCCTGATGTTTAAGCGGTTGCGACTGTAACATGGTTCGTTGCTGATGCATGCACACGGTGGCTGATAAATGTGCACTCGCTCAGCACTTTGTTAGCAAATGGCACACTTCCAAGAGGCCACTTTGAGAAATAAACACAGAACTGTCGGGAGGATTTCGTTCCCCCTCCCGCAAGTTGATCGGCGGCCCAGGCCACCATCCCACAACTTCACATGCAATGTGGAAACAACTTTGTATCGCTTTGCATGCACAACTCATGTTTAATAGATACGTGCTCAAATATATACTCCAATGGAATTTGAATCGGTGGAACATTTTGTCCCATTACATAGCTGTACGCATTGATCATACCGGATCTTGTTCAGCTTGTAGTTTACGAAAGGTGTATTAGTAAAATATCCCACTTGGCGTTTTCTCTGGTTGGTACTCTGTCAAAACCGAGCATGCCGATGAAGTTTATTTGACAGTGTGGCAGTTTGGCAGTCACATGGCAGTTTTCCCATTGCCACACCACATCCGCTCCTAAGCCGAGGAGCGCTTCATCTGGAGCGCCGATCCAGCCGGGCGCGCCGCTCCGTCCAGGCGTGCTGAGCGGTGGGGGAGGGGCGGGGGAAGGGGGGGGGGCGACGCCAGCGCCGCCGCTGCCGGCCCTGTCACTCGCCTCCGCGAGCGACGCCCGAGGCGCTCCCGCGGAACGCCAGCTGTTGAACCGGTCGCAATCAGTCGGCGTAGCCGGCGGGCGTGGCCGAGGCCGGTGAGCCGTGCCAGGGACGGTCGATGACGGCCAACAAGCGGTAGGCGGGGTGACACTTACCGGTAGTGTTTGAATGTTGTGAAACACTGGCACGTGACACTAGTTATCCGGTTGTCGACCCAGTGCGAGGCGCTGTGCAGGGTTGTGCACGTGGACTTCACTGTTATACCTACAATTCACTGTTCTTCAGCACTGGCACATTTGTTCTAATGTGAGCTCCATGTTTGCACCGGTCCCAGGTGATTGGACGGGCCTTGCATGCATGCTTGGAATATAATCGGGGAACAGTGATCATAAACATTCGAAGAGGCGATCTTGATTATACCTAAGCATCGGTCCTCCGTTGAATTTTTGCTAAATACTGATGTGCTTATATTGACTAACTAACCGTAAATGACCTGCCATTAAGTTCTTCCGTGGCCTGCTGGAATGTCTTGCCTAATCCTGACCGACGGCGGGGCTCCTGATCACCCACCGGATTATGAGTGACTCAGCTTGGGCCTATTTTGGTCGGCACCTGCCAGGGGAGCGGCGGAGGGGCGGAGGGGGGGGGGGGGGGCAGCGGGGCCGGCGGCGACCCATCCGCTCCCGGGCTCGCCGCAGCTGTTTGCCTGGTGCGTCCCGCCAATGACGGCGGAGAGATGAGATCGAATGGAAGATCCGTGAAAGCACGCAGCCTCCAACGACCCGCGGTCTCTCCTGACGGCTTCTGTAGCGACAGACGACACTGAAGAGCAGCTGGTTGGGATAAAAGGTCAACTGAGAATGCGACTCATGTTTGGTTCTGCTTTACACCTTTTTAACCCGTCGTGTCTTGGTTCGGAACGCCTGAGGCTAATGATCGCGGCCGCAGACATTCAAGGTTCGGTGTTGTGCCTCGTACATGCAATGGATATGTGTATCATGCTGAATCCGCCCCGATCAGCCAGCGGAGAGCCGGCCGCAGCACGGGGGGCGACCAGCCGGCCTCGCTCCAGGACCCGGACTGTCACGGTCCGCGGCCCGAGGCCAGCGGGTCAGAGCACGGGTTACGGGCCTCAGGTCAGCCTCAACGGCCGTGACCTCAGGCCAGTCCCAACGGCCGTGACCTCGGGTCAGACTCAACGGCCGTGACCTCAGGTCAGACACAACTGCCGTGACCTCAGGTCAGACTCAACGGCCGTGGCCTTATGTCAGACTCGACGGACATAACTTCAGGGCACGCATACCGCTCCGTGGCATGCATGGCATGCAATGGCTCACGCCGCCACGCGATGGAACAGTGGTGCAGGTCAGCTTCTCCGTGTATCGAAATGGAAAGATGAGGCCGGTGACGTTAAAACTATGAACAGCATGCGGTTCAATGATAAAGTTTCTGTCATTTGTGGAATCTGCTCGTATAAAAAAGTGTTAAGCCGCTGAGCCGTATATGTCACCACACGTGGCATTACATCTACCATGTTGCTCCTGTGTTTTGATGAATGGCCAGAGACGAACAACTGAGCTGGCGAGAAGACGGACGCCTAACTCATGGTGCCAGGTGACCACCGCAGGGCGATCACGGTGCAGGTCACGCGAGAGCACATGTGCTGCAGACGCGACCTCGGCCCATGGCCATGCTCCTTACCACGACGCCATCACACCGAAGTGATGGGGATGCCGCCGGCGGTGGGTTACCACCCACTCCGTCGTACGCCGTGTCCTCCGAACTACGTCAGAGGGGCGGACCAAACAACCGGCTGGCAGCGGCGCCGCCCAGCCGCGGCGACTTGGCACGTATTTATAGAGGCGACCGGGGCCCGATTTCAGTGTGTGTCGGCAGCCGGCTGGACGTGCCTCGCCCCGCTCCGCTCGACGCTCCGCTCCGTTCGGTCGCCATGGTGGTACGTCCCGCTGTTCGGCGGCCGTCGTCGAGCCGCGCGTGCTTCCGCGCAGAGCCGGACAGCGCCCCGCGGCTGGTGACTACGCCAGCGTGGCGGCCGTGCGCCCGTGTAAACAAGCTGCGCCGCTGAGTTCTCCTGTCTTGCGGACGCGCGGCTGCCCCGGGTTTGTTACTGTCTGGGACGGAGCATCTCCCGCCAGTCAGCTGTTCCAATGTGCGAGCACCGAGGTTTGGCAGCCCTATCCGCTGCTGTCAAGAGCGTGTACTGAGTGGCAGCAACATCACGGGATCTAAGGCATCCACGTGGTCAAATTCCTTAGTCAGCTCTTTCCTGCTTCACCACAGTGCTAATCTTACGCCTCGAAAAATTCGGACAGTCGTTTTACGCCCAGGCGTCACGGCGCGATGGTTACGCGCACGTCACGGCGCGGTCACGTCTTGCAGTTAGGTCAAAACCAGGCATGAGCAGGCGACAGCCACCAGCCGGCAGCAGGCAGTGTCCATGCGATGATATTCAGTGTAAAAAGAGGCATTCTTCCGGCTGTGCTTAGGCGATACAATCGTGGGTTGTTTAGTTGGAGACCGGGTACTAATCGCTAAAACGCCAAATAACTCTCATTGTAATATTACATCCGGCTTTCTTTTGTCTCAAGATTGAATATGTCCAAAGATAAGATATCTAAATATTGATTTTGGGTGGTGCAACATTAGAGAAATTAGCCCTCGCATATATTCAATTTTCACAGGATTATCCTCTGGTGCGTGACAGGCGCTGTCCAAAAGATAACATAATGTGGCTGCCTTCGACGCCGGCAGAAGCGGGACGCCACCCAGGAGAAGGAGGTCCTGGAGTGGATCGAGGCTGTGACGGGCCAGAAACTGCCGGCCGGACGCTATGAGGATGTTCTCCGTGACGGCATCGCCATCTGCCACCTGATGAACAAGCTGTCGCCCGGCTCCGTGTCCAAAATCCAGACCAGCGGCGGCCACTTCAAACTTCGGGAGAACATCGAGAGGTAGGCTTTCTCAGCATTCAGTAGCGCTCCATTATCACATGTCCGCCACTGGTGGGCGGCCCTTGAAATAGCATCAACACGAGCTTATCTTAGTTGACGGTCAGGCTTTTGGTGTCACGCACTTCGCTGAATTATCTCACAGTGGTGAGGAATAACCCGAAATAGGCAGAACCCGAAAGAAATTCGAATAAGTAATCACCCTGCGTAGTAATCACCCTTATCAGGAACAGCTGCGCAAACATTGTCATATTCACTACGATTACTCCCCCTCTGCGCGCTCCAGATTCCAGAAGGCGGCCAAGGCGTACGGCGTTCCCGAGGAGGAGATCTTCCAGACGGCGGACCTGTACGACATGAGAAACATTCCGCAGGTCACGCTGTCCCTGTACGCTCTGGCGCGCCTGGTAAGACACGGAGGATCACCGCCGCCAGCCGCTGATCGAACCTTGAGACTGCTCGTGTGGGCGGCTAATTTTAGCCCGGTGCCGCATTAGCCGAATTTAGCCGTCGTTTCCGACGTCAGCGGAGCGGCTGGCGGCGGTCGCCGATGCTTGGCTAACCGCTGCTGGCAGCACCCGCCCAAACAAACAGCATCGGCTCTGCCGTCCAGCTGCGTCTCACTAACGACGACCGTATCACGCTCGACGGAGGCGGCAGTCACGTGATCGGCGCCGACACTTTTCCAGACGCAGAAGCACCCGGAGTACAAGGGCCCAGCGCTGGGACCCAAGATGGCGGATGCTCACAAGCGGGAG